GGTGCATGTGGTGATAGCGGTCATGGTAAGCACCGCACCACCTCCATCACCCCAACTGTGCGGTCGACCGGTCGCAACAAAACAGCATCATGCTGTGGAGGAGCGCATGGATCGCGTTCGCCACACGAGCCAGGCCCTTTCGTTCCCGCACTACCACCTCCTCCTGCGTGTAGGTGTGAGTAAGGGTATAGAGGTGTGTGTAGGTGTTTAGGTGTATAGAGGTGTGTGTGTAAGTGTATAGAGGTGTGTGTGTAGGTGTGGGTACGTGTATAGAGGTGTGTGTGTAGGTGTTTAGGTGTATAGAGGTGTGTGTGTAAGTGTATAGAGGTGTGTGTGTAGGTGTGAGTAAGGGTATAGAGGTGTGTGTGTGGGTGTTTAGGTGTAGAGAGGTGTGTGTGTAAGTGTATAGAGTGTGTGTGTAAGTGTATAGAGGTGTGGTGTAGGTGTGTGTAAGTATATAGAGTGTGTATAGGTGTGTGTAGGGTTGTAGAGGTGTGTGTGTAGGTGTGTGTAAGTGTATAGAGGGGTGTGTCAGTGTGTGTGAGTGTATAGAGGTGGTGTGTAGGTGTGTGTGAGTGTATAGAGGTGTGTGTAGGTGTGTGTGGGTGTATAGAGGTGTGTGTATATAGGTGTGTGTGTAGGTGTGTGGTGTCTAGAGGTGTGTGTGTAGGTGTGTGTGAGTGTATAGAAGTGTGGTGGTGTAGGTGTGTGTGAGTGTATAGAGGGTGTGTGTGTAAGTGTATATAGGTGTGTGTGAGGTCCTGGGGGAGGGAAAATCTCTCAGCCAGGAAAACATCATGGCACAAAGTGGGGATAACCCTGCTGAGGCTGCGGTGCCTCAAATATTGGAGGTCACCCCCTGTGAGTGGGCTGGCTGAGGTGCCATCTGTTGAGGAAGTACTGAAGGCGATCCGGAGTCTGAGACCAGGAAAGGCACCGGGCAGAGATGATCTCCCAAGCGAAATGCTGAGGGAGGGTGGCGCTTGTGCACAGACTGCCCTATATGACATCATAACAACAGTCTGGACCGCTGGACGGTACCGCAGGATTGGAAGGATTCCTTGCTCGGCACGCTGAGGAGAGGCTTGCAGAACCCCAATGCGGTTTCAGGAAAGGGCGGTCCTGTACAGATGCCATATTTTCTGTCTGTCTGCTACAGCAGAGGTGTAGGGAATTCCAACAAGACCTTCATCTCTGCTTTATTGACCTGGTCAAGGCCTATGATACCATCAGTAGGCCTGGGCTCTGGGTTGTTCTTCGTGCTTTCGGAGTCCTGACCCTCTGCTCACGATCATTAAGGACCTTCATGATGGTGAGCGGGCCCGGGTAAAAACTACGTGGCCGGGAATCAA